CTAAGTGAGTTCACGTACAGGTTAACACACCCTGTGAATTTGGCATCTCTAGCTCTCTTGTTCCTGAGGTCTCTGCGGATGAGATTATCGTCCCCCCCCCCCTCTCCCACCCGAGCGAAGGGTATTGAACCGGCCACCCGGGCGCCCGCTCATTTCATAAACACCGCTGTTTTTCATGAAAATCCCTTGAGCCCAGGCTTGCATCAATAGCATTCATTGCCCCTCGGGCACTTAGGCTTCGAGATAGGATATTTCACCTTAGACTAACTTAATTTCTTGTTCGTCCAAGCTATGCGTACGCGCAGTTTCGATTTCCCAACGATTGTTTGAATGTGATAAGTGTCTTGATGTGTAATGCATGCTGGCTTAAAATCGCCTTCATGTATCAGTGTTGTCTGACGCTTGATACACGATGTCTGTTTAATTGAAATCGTTTGCATGTAAAAGTGATGCGTGATGCGAGATGTCTGTGTACTTGAAATCGCTTGCGGAAGTAAATTATCTGTTATGCGTGAAGCCTGTGAACTTGAATTCGTTTGCACATACAGGTATTTTTCGCGCTTTTTAATTCTCAGTTAGATGTGCACTGTATCGCAGAAATGACCGGCAATTGCTCCTTGTTTAATCCCCTGCAAGTTGGTGGTCTGTAAAAACTGTGGCTAGCTGTTTTTGAAGGAAAAAACTGAGACGTCGAGTAAAATCTGCAGAGATATTTAATTTCCTACCGATATTCTTTTCGATAAAGGCATGCGGCCAAAATATCACATTCATCTCTCCATTTTCCTCTTTCTTCTTTGAAAAATAAAGCTATCATTGCTGTTTTATCTATACGTATAGTGTTCCTCACAAATGCACTTTACAATTTGCGAAGCGCTGCCATCATGTCGATAATGATGGCGGCATACCCTCTACATAACAATTTAAACGTAATGTAAAGATTTTGTCCGGTCACTAAGGTGAGTCTAGACCAAAGTCATGCCATAACGGCAGGTCGACTTCAGTTACAACTGCGTTGGGAGCTATGGCTAACTGCCTAACCTGTAAATGAATCGTGTGCAGGGTTGGTGTGTAGTGGCATATGCAACCGCTGCAACGACAAGAGCGTTCATTGCAATTGTCGAAGGGCGGGACCGCCAGCACCCTCTCGCTTTCATAGGACTGGGTCGCCGCAGACTCGCCCTGCGGTCGAGTTTCTCTGTTCCCGACGCAGTATCACATGCCTGCCGCCGACAGCAACTCCAAAGCCCTCCCCTGTACCCACTCGCGAACAAAAAGCAAACTCGAATTCAGTTAGTAGCCTGTGCCAGGAAACTCAGTTGAAGTCGCCGGGGGCGATAGGGTCCGATACCTACCAGACATACACGCGATTTCAAACAGCAAAACGAAGGTAATGCAGATGACTTTGTGGACTGCAACATATCTCAATTTGGTGTTTGGGAGTTCCCCTGTCATCTACGCCACCCATTTTGCTTTCTTGTCTCCTTCTTCTTACCTTTCCGCCAACTAACCCCTAATCCCTGGGTTCAACCCGCCGAACTCGCCGAATGTGCACCAGCTTAGGCGCAAGCACCCGTCGGTTCTGTAGCAAATTGCAGGGTAACCTTGGAGGTTAGTGACGTAATCCTCGGTGTCCGACCTCATACGATGGTAGTAATAGAAGTCACTCGGTAAGTAGCATCGAATGCCCTTTCTGCATGATATATTTATTGTTTCGTATTTGTGACGTTCAGCCAGCTTACGCTTGGAACACATTTTGAAAAGAGCTCTAACGCGTTCGTTGGAATAGGCGTCAGTAAATCCCGAAATACTGTTTCACCGACCGAGAAGCCATGTCAAAGTAGATCCCCGCTGTCGCTCACCGTCAGTGCGCGTCTAGAGCTATACCAGGGAAAGCCGCAGGCCGCCCATGACAACCCAGAGCGTCAGCGTGATGGTACATTGGCTTGAAGTGGCCATTGGCTCTAAGCTGGCCCTCAATTTGTCCATACAGGCTATTACTGGTTATGGACCGGACCAACACACTGCATGACGAGCCGACGGCGCTGCGCGTGGTGATCCTGGCGCTCCTCGACCTCCTGCGTGTCCTGAGTCTGCTGTTGATTGGTATCCCGGACCTCATTTTTAACCACGTCCTGTATGCAGTCTGCCAATCCGTTCAGATCGCAGCTGCCGGTTTCGCAATCGCTCTGACGATGACGCAGATGCTGGTCGCCCTCGACCAGATTATCGCCGTCGTCTATCCGCTGCGTTACCGCGATATCATGGACTGCTGTATAAAGTGGCTGCTTGAATGGCCCTGGCTGGCTGTCCTGTATACGGTTGTGGTGGGGACCGCCTGTTCTGCCCTCCAGTTGGAGACCGTCTACCAGCTCGGACAGCGCGTCGGAGAATTAACTGAAGTTGGACAGGATTGTCGCTGGGAAAAGCCGCCGAGCGTTTATATATGTTTCTTGATGAAGCCTTTCTTTTGTTTCTTTCGGTAGCCACCGGATTTTTGTTCGTCCTCACTGGAATCAAAGGAGTTCGGCAGAATCAGATGGAGACGATTTCGTCAGGAATCACTGACGGCACTGCAAACAACTTTGCCTTGACTTGTATCAAATCTTTCAAAAACATTGTTAAAGTTTTGTCGCTCTTCGTCATTCTGGACATCATCGGAGGTGGTCTCAGGATCGGCACCAGCTGGATCAGCATGCCCACACTGGCATCTATACTCCACCTTACTTGTCTCGGCTGCCTGGCTGCCGAAGCGTGGTTCTATAGCATGAGACACGTGCCCGTGCGCAAGGCGTTCAGCAACAGCCTCCAGCCCCTTCGAGGCCTCTTTCGTCGTGGGGAATACTGCAACTCTGTCCAACCATCAGGCCAAACGCAAGATGTCGTACGGCTCTTTAGCTGTTGGAACCTCTCTTAGACACAGCGCGTTGAAAGACTAACGTCTACGCGCAGTTTTCACTCGTTGAGCTGTCATCCTTAGCTGTTAAACGTTTCGACCCCTCGGGTGACCCCGTGGTTCTCACTCTATCTGAGATGGAGGCCCCTCGGATGTTTCCCCGGTTTCGACTCCTTTGCGGGTTAATACTATTCGGGTGCCCGTCCTTTCACTGCTGCCACTGGTCGTGCCGCGCGCGACGAAAGCCACCGAGCGGCTCGCATGACGTCCACAAGCTCTGTAGCTGGCAAAGTCAATGTAACCTGTGTACGCATGATGCAACATCATTGCACGCAATGGAACACGCGTGTGTACAATGTGCTTTAGAGCACTCAACGTACTGGATCAATAGCCGGATGTCGGATGGATCTGCAAACGGATTGCATCGGACCAGAAAAGCTGGGCAACGCAGGAAGCAGTGAGAATGTTATAACACAACAGGAACTACAACTTGACGAGAAAAAAACTAATTTAACTTCCACACATGCTAATTCAGGATCAAACTACAACAGAATAACCATATCATGGAGCTCATAGTTGCAAACATCTTCGTTGTAATGATGGCTAACTGGAGGTTCAGATGAACATGTCATTGAGTATGATATTCGGTAGAAAATGTCTGCTACCCAACAATGATTTGATATTTTGGACATGTTATTATTATCAGAACTCGTAATGTATTGACACGTTGATATTTAATTCACATCTATTAAATCTAAACTGTGTGGATATTAGGAAATTTCAAGTTCAAAACTTAGCTACGTGTTTTAGGAGGATTCCATTTCGTTCAGATGTTAATTCCCCCTTTTATTAAGCCTGATTTTTCTTCGAGGGTTCAGCTTCTTTGCAAACAATATGGGCTTATGCTGGTTGTTTTCTAAGTCATGTGTCCAAGATATGTGCTCAGACCTACTTCCATTCACGCCAGGTCAAAACATAAGGTCATTTGTAACTAGGAGCTTATTCTGGCAGCCATTCAGAATACTTAAACCCAGCTCATAATTGTTATTTTTCCGTCGGTCACAAAGTCTGATTAAAGTTGTTACAAAGCAAGCCTAAAATAGGCTGATATGTGACATATTTGGATGTTGATGATGTTAGAAGCAAACAACATTAATGCGCATGGATACGCATTGGCATGAGCATAATTTAGCTCAGCCGGATCATGATGGATTTGGAAAAGAAAATTCCAGAAAGTCACATTGGTATGAAAGCCGCACTCCGCTGATGCAGTGTATGTGTTTGGACTTTGAAATCATACCTAAATACGTTTTCCTGTACGGTGCGTCTAGCCTACGAAGTGCATGATTGAAAGGTGTACGCCAGCGCCAGGAATATCATGGTATTGCTCGGCGGACTCTTGTGCAGTATAATATAAGCGTGTGTATTTCTGTTCTCGGGTGATTGCTCTACCTTCCCCGTGTCATTTTGGGCCCACAATAATTGGTGAGGATCCGGAACCCCGTTCTGTGAATTTCACTTTAAAATAAGGAGTCATTGGAGAATGGGGAAAGAGCCAGGAGAAGGGCATGGGAGTGATCTGACATCGCTCATCCTGACTCGTGCAAACACATGGTTTTAGGGAGGAAGGTGAAACATCATGTTAACCATAGCGATATGAAACCAACTAAACGCTCACTTTTCTAATTCAGAAGCACCTTTCAGCTCTGTGGCAAAGCGCATGGAGGCCTCCGAGGTTTGTGGCGTAATCTTCGGTGTCCGGCCTTATACGATGGTAGTAATAGAAGTCACTCGGTAAGCAATATCGAATGCATTTTGTGCAAGGTTATTTGTGTACGTCTTCAATCCTTATACCAAATTTGAATCGATTTTATCTTTTTTTAATTTGTGCCATTCAGCCAGCTTACGCTTGACATACATACTTTGGAAAGAGCTCTAATGCGTTCGTTGAAATACGCTTCAGTAAATCCCGAAGTAATTGGTCATTTACCATACTGCGAGATGTCAAGTTAAAAGAGATCCCCGCTGTCGCTTACCGTCAGTGCGGCTCCAGAGCTAGGCCAGGGAAGGTCGTAGACCACCCATCAGGACCCAGAGCGTTAGCGTGATGGTACCGTGGCTCAAAGTGGCCGTCGGCTCTGCTCTCGCCCTCAATTTCTCCATACCGCTGTTGGTGATCGGTCGGACCAAGACACTGCATGACGAGCCGATGGCACTGCTCGTGGCAAACCTGGCGCTCGCCGACATACTGTTTGTGCTGAATCTGGTGCTGATCGGTTGTCTGGACCTCATTTTTAACCACGTCCTGTATGCAGCCTGCCAGTCCGTTCAGATCGCTGCCGCCTGTTTCGGAATCGCTCTGAAGATGACGCAGACGCTGGTCGCCCTCGACCAGTTCATCGCCGTCGTCTATCCGCTGCATTACCGCGACATCATGGACCGCTGGACGAAGTGGCTGCTTGTTCTGCCTTGGCTGGCTGTCCTGTTTACGGCTGTGGTAGGGGCCGCCTGTTCTGCCCTGCAGTTGGAGACCGTCTACCAGTTCGGACAGCGCGTCGGGGAATTGACTGAAGTTGGACAGGACTGCCGTTGGGAAAAGTTGCCGAGCGTATATATGTTTTTTGTTGAAGCCTTTCTTCTCTTCTTTTCGGTAGTCACCGGATTTTTGTTCGTCCTCGCTGGAATTACAGGACTTCGACAAAATCAGGTAGAGGCGATTTCGGCGGGAATCTCTGACGGCACTGCAAACAGCTTTGCTCTGACACGTACCAAATCTTTCAAGAAAATTGTCAAAGTTTTGTCGCTCTTCGTCATTCTGGACATCATCGGTGGTGGTCTCAGGATGGGCACCCGCTGGATCAGCATGCCCACAATGACATCCATTCTGCACCTTGCTCGCCTCGTCTGCTTGGCTGCCGAAGCGTGGGTCTATAGCATGAGCCACGTGCTCATTCGCAAGGCGTTCAACAGCAGCCTCCAGCCGCTTCGAAGCCTGTTTCGTCGTGGGCAATCCGGCAACTCAGGCTAAACTCATCAGGCTGAACGCAAGATGGCGTGCAGCCCCTCCGCTGTTGGAACATCTAGATACAGCGCTGTTGAATGACGAATGTCTACACGCAGTTTTCACTCGTCCGTCGGTCGTCCTTAGCTGTTTAACGTTTCGAAGCCTCGACTCCTCCGGTGACTCCGTGGTTCTCACTCCATCTGACACGGAGACTCCTCAGATGTTTCCCCGGTCTCGACCCCTTTGCAGGCTAATACTTTTCGGGTGTCCGCCCTTTCACTGTTGTCCTTGCTCGTGACGCGCGCGACGTAAGCCACGAAGCGGCTCGGATGATGTCCACGAGTTCTGCACCTTGCTATGTTAATGTACTGTGTGCACGCACGATGTAACATCATTGTACGCAATGGAACACGCATGTGTGTAATGGGCGTTAGAGCACTCCACGGGCTGGATCAAGCGCCGGATGTCGGATGGATCTGCAAGCGGATTGCACTGCACCACACAAATTGGACAACGCAGGAACCGGAGTGAGGGTGTTATAACACATCAGGAACTACAACTTGACCGGATACAAACTAATTTAACTTCCAAACATGTTAATTCAGGCTCAAGCTCAACCATTGATATAGATTATTACGAGCATATATTAGCTCAGCCGGATCGTGATGGATTTGGAAAACAATTCTAAAAAAGCCGCATGGGCGATCGCATTGGGTTCTGGAGATGCGTACCGGTCTAGATCAGATAATAATTCCCTTAAGTGCTCTACTGCGTGTCCTAAACGTAAAAATTTGCTTAAAAATATTGCCATATTTTAAAGACGTTGATACCCTGGGACGTTTTTTGTTGTGTAGTGTTGTGATGTGCTGCGACAGTGTCAAAAGTTCGGCGTATCGTAGCTTGTGGCTCTTCTTCGTGCTCTTCGTACCGTTATGTAAAAAAATAAAGACAAGGCAAATGATGCAGTGAACTTCCATCTTGGTTTTGTCGTAGAAAAGCAACTGATCTTAGGCGCCAAGGATTCACGCTACAGGCGTCAGCCACGGATGTGCCCAGAGACCACCTGAAGGAGTTCCTCGACATAATGTCTGACACACACACACCGCGGACACATGCGCAGGCTAAAGTTCAGCGGTCTCCCCCCCCCCCCCCCCCACCCCCAGGCACATGTGATCCTGCTCCGCCGTTATCAATTATCTTGCATCCCATAATTCTGAAGTGATCGTTTCTGGCCGAAAGGTCTTTATTCCAAACAACCAAACCAAAACAATCGTGTGCAGGCCTCGTATGAAACCATTCCTTCAGTCAACTGACCGTGTATGTACGTTGATGCAAAGGATGGTTTTCCTTAACTCGAAAAAACGAGATGATAATGGTTTTTCGTGGCCTTGAGCAATACGCTGTCAATGAGATTGCAAACTGGTTGGTATGGTCTTCGATACGTCATTGCCTGATAACGTCATGGTACATTGCAAAACATTTGTAGAGAGCCAACTGCTGACCGTTTTGTCTGGAAATGGTGGTAATGAACGCCAGGTATGAAGAACTCGACCACTGTATTTTATCAGTTTTCTTGCAGCGTAATATTATATTATTGATGTTTGGTTTGTATAAGGCCTGCCAATACTATGGGAAGTAAGTCTACGGCAATTAGGCATGTGTGTTAAGTTCGAATTCCCATATGAATAAGTATTTCTGTGCGGTACGTTTAGGATGCGAAGTTGTTGCTTGAAAGGTGTATGTCAGCGCCAGGTAAATTATGGTATTCTCCGGGGACGCCTGCCCGGTATGATACAGGCGTGTGGTTTTCTGTTCTGCCGTGATTGCTCTACCTTGCCCGTGTTACTTTGGGCCCATGTTTATTTCTGAGGGTCAGAAATACTGTTAAGTAAATTTCTTTTTAAATCAGGAGTGCTGAAATATCACAAGGCGCCCTTTTCAAGCATCGCCTGTTGACAATGGCAACCTAGGTTTATTGTAGAAACGTTGCTAGCTGAGCTGGCTTCTCAGTGACCATGTTCGTCTTGGAATATCCGACCTTCTTTCCAACCCGTGTAGTTAAACAATTACGTAACATAGCTTTAACAGAGCAAGCTCTCAAGCCTTAAAGGAAACACCCGGAAGCTCGGCGGTGCAGTATCCATCGGCTACACGGCGTTTACCCTTTTGCTGATATTTAGGTGGTGACTGGTGAGCGCACCACAACAGCATCGTTTCTCAAAAGATTGCATTCGAACGCTTCAGGATGCCAATTTAGCCCTGACATTTTTTTGTTTTGCTTGATTACATTTTACCAATTGTCGACCATTTTAACGTTTATATTTCTGTTTGTTTTGAATTCAGAACACCACACAGTCACATACACACCATCATGGGTCGCGACAAAGTCACCCCCGCCGCGTGCACCGCCCCGTGTCCCACCGCGACTACCGCACAGTAACATACGCCGTCCGTCTGCCGCACGAGCGCGCAAGCCGGCCAGCTGTAGACTACGCCTGGTGGCACGGCGGACAGTCAGCCCCCCCCCCCCCCCCCCCAGCCGGCAGCCCAGTCCCACAGCTCCCTCTGAAGTGCCGCGGCTAACATCATTTAATGTGGTCTCAAAATTACACGGGGCACGGTAGGGCAAGCACGGCACAACAAATATCCACACCCCCGTGTCATACCGCGCAAGTGTCACACGGGGATTTATAGTTTACCTGGCGCTTGCTTGCGCGTTGGAAGCATTCACCTTTGGCACCTAGACATACTGCACGGAATTAATTAATCAGGCGGGAATTCAAGCTCAACACAAATATCCTGCGTCAGCGCAAGGTGGGTGAGTGTGAATGTGACACATGAGTGTGCAGCAAACAGCACAGTACGTACACGTTGGAAAATAGCTAGGTAAATGAAAAATATTACACGCATAGTGGAGAGCAGGGAGTCAAATGCGATTTCTCCAACAGTGCTCACTACTTGAAATAAAAAATCGGAGTTATTCAAAAGAATTTCGAAGAGACTGGTACCATCAATCAAATCGTTCCCGTCTGATTGAGGAAAAGAACGCAACTAAAAATGTAGTAGTAAAAAGTTAAAAAGTGGAATGATCCATTTAATCTGCTTATCCAAGCTTCATCCTCTTATAAAAAGCAGAATACATTGACGTAGGATTGCAAAGATTTGTAGAAAGAACATCTAAATATTCTGGTTGCACGCTGCCCTAAAATGTAACAAAAATCCAAAGGCATGAATTTGTCGTGGTTATCAGGCTAATAATCTATGTCAAGATAAGTTCACTTACGCTTGTCTTCGACCGAATTTTTGAAGAATTTGAACTGAAGAGCTTGTGTTGTGCTGGGCTAGCAACGACGTGCAATAAACCATAGTTAGGTACTGGTTTTTGAATCTTAATATTTCTGTCAGAGGGCAGGAGGCAGTGGGCAGAGTGTCCGCTTGCGGCAGGGTTTACAAAAATTTGGCATTCGTCCTGTAGTTAGACATGCTATTTCAAAAAGAAGACCTACAAAAGAAAGAAACCTAAACCAAAGCGTTGAAAAGCCGCTCCACCCACCGAACTTTGAAGGCGTCTCCACGCATGCGTACTACGGATTATTCACATTGCGCCACCTGGGCTCAAAAACAAACCTCAGGATGTTTCTGAAATACATCTCAAACCATTCAAGGGAGGCTGAAACTGCAGTTGTCTAACAACAGACCTTGCGAGCGTTTTGAAGTCACCTAAGCATTGGAGAAGAAGAAAAGAGAAATGAGAACGGCATGGGAGCAGTCTGACATCGTTCATCCCGCCTCTTGCAAATGCATAGAGTTATGGAGGAAGGGGAAACATCATGTTACCTATAGCGTCATGAAACTATCTAAACGCTCACGTTCTTATTGCAACTTCCAGGCCGCCTCTCTGCCAACCACAAGCCACCAATCGCACGCGTTCTCCGCCAATCAACAGCCAGAACAACAGCTGGGCCCGATGCAACTCGCATAAGCCAATAACTAGCGGCCTGCCCAAGCTGTTCGCAAATCACATCCCGCAAATTTGAACCGCCGGCGAGCTGGCACCTCCAATCCGCAGTGGGCATCGCTGGGATGGTTTTTTTTGTATAGTTATCTCGACATTAGAATGTGCGGGGATGCGTAGCGCCGCGCGGTGGTGAAGGTTTCGTAACGGGTGGGTGGTGGGTTCGATTCCCGGGACGGTGGTAGACCTATGTTTGGGCCCACATTGCACGCTTGCATCGGCTTTTCTTGGTCACTTCGTAGGCATGTAAGTAAAGTGATGAGATGCTCATGCCACGCAAAGCTCAGCCATCATCAATTTCATTATACGGTAAGGTGCCGGTCATGATGAGAAGTCACGCAGTCATTCGGCCTTTCCATCAATATCGTCGGCTCTGGACATACGCTCCTTGTATTTAGCCGGTGCTGAAGCCTAGCCGGTAACTAGCCGGTAAGCTGGTATCTACGAGTTGTCCGGATGTGATGCGAACCACGTCGCT